AATTCTTTATGTCTGAAGACAGTTCCTTTTAAATATGTTACTATTTTTATTAAAATGTTGCTTAGATTAATGTGATGGTGTTGTAGGCTTATTATTTTGAAGTAAATTTAAAATATTTGTTTAAATTTCTCCATTTTAGCTCCTAATATGGTAAAAGAAAAAGGGTCCTAAGACCAAAAGCTTTGGGCTACTGGCTCATAGAAGGCCTCATAAGCCTTACTGTCCAAGGCCTAGGATTTTATCCACCTTGTTTGCAAATCTGTACTTTCCCTAGGGTCTGCCTCCATTGCTACAGCCAGCATCGAGGGGAAAGCTGACATTCTCGTCTATTCCAAGAGACTGAGTCTGTCCACTCACCTCAGGACAGAGGGCAGGGGACACTCTAGGTGGACAACACTATGAATGCTACAGTAAGCACCTGACCCCCCCCAAGCAGGAGAGTTCAAGGGCAGCTCCCATCACAAATTCTGCATCAAGTTTAGGCACGGGAGGCTGGTCAGCACAGTACACCAGATTCAACAGTAGAACACTGTCATCTCGGCCTTCTCCAATGTTCCCTGGGGAAGCCTGCCCCTTTCCCGGGCCCATCCCCCTCTCTGTGCAGACCAGGCTTCACTGAGACCAGGACTCCCTGCGAGCTCAGCTCCTTTCCTTTGGTTCTGGAAAACTGGTGGATGCAGCCAGTCCAGGGTTCACGTCAGTTCCTTCTCACTTTAGAACACAGGTCCCTTTATAAAATCCCTTCCAGCGATGGGTAGATCCTGTTAGGAAGGTCTTTAAGTGTCTCGAATACAAACTGCATATGATTGTCAAAGCCCAAGGGATGCAGTGTCCCTGGGTCCCACTCTTTTTGTGGCCAACAGCTTCCTGCCACCACCAGAAGACATGGAGATGAACGATGAATGAGCAGACAAGTACATCAAAATCCCAGCAGAAACACCAAAACCATAACCACCAAGCAGCAGACTCGCACCCAAGGTACCCGTACATAGAAAAGTCGCATGGCTTTCTTTTTCCAGGATTAAGTAGACATGGGACAGTGGCCAGTTGGCAGAAACACAATTGTTAGGATGCTTCTTTTTAGTTTTCAACTTTCTTAGTGATTCTAACCTAAAACATTACCTTCTTTTCTTCTGCATTCCACCAGGAACTCAGCAAACCTCATTCTTAATTTCCTTGCCAAAAGTTAATCCACCCAAAAGCTTATCTTGAGAATTAACAGCTGTGTGCAACTCATTTGAAGCCATGTAATTCGGTCCCAAAGGGCCTGAAAAGGTTGTCATAGGAAAGGCCAGGCATGGCAGCACATGCTTACAATTCTAGCACCGGAGAAGCCGAGGCAAAAGGACTGCAAGTTTGAGGCCAGCCTGGGTTATCAGTACAAGACCTACGCTGCATAGAAGCAAGCACGGTCTCAAACAGCGTCCACAGGGCTCTGCTCCGCTGCTGGCTGCTGCTGTCTCCTTCAGCCTCACCTTATCTAAGCCACTTGCTTCCTAGGAGGCCGTGTCTCAGCGCGTACGAGACACCCTACCCAAGAATGTAGATGGAAGCTCTGAGCTTCTCACCCAGGGGCTCCCTGTAGAAATGCCTTTATCTGTATGTCTAATGGACCGATGGCAACCTGAAATTCTTTCCACAAAAATTAAGCCTACCCACATGGGGAGGAGAAGGCAGCTGGGGCACTTTCTCCTGAGTCTCACTTTCTGTCTCTACAACTCTGTATCTCCCATAGGAAAAACCAACCCAGAGGATAATCATCCCCGTTGTCTGGTGACGGCACACAGAAGGGCCAGCATCCTTCCAGCTGTGAGGTTTATCTCAACGCTACAGCAGGACCACTTTTCCTGTAGCTCCAACTTAGTGCCTTCTCCTTAGTTTTATAAATGCGATTGCTCTGTGGTCGTCTCCAAAATCTTGGGCCTCTCCATTAACTCCACTAGTGAAGCAGCCCCGTTTGAAACTAGAAAGCCAAATATTCACTCAAAACCCAGGCTTCGTGAGATGAGAACAGGATTTTCTGTTAATCCATTTTGGACCCTGTTGTAGCACCAGAACCTAGAACTGGGCCCAGGGCAGAATCTGATGAATGTGTGAATGAGTGAGCCAGGGTTTCCAGACTCGTTCACCTCCATTCTCACCACACTCCTGGTCAGTTCTAGAAAAACATCAGGCTCCCTTCCCTTCAAGCCCTAACACCCAGTCATGCCCCATCCCAGCCTCTGATGAAGCCTGGCCTGGGCTCCCATCGGGTTATCTTAGCACTACTCACACTCCACTGCCTCTCCACTGACACCGCACTCACCCTCCCTCAGGCCACCACCCCCTCATCTAGGATCTGCTCAAACAGCACATTAATCCCCAGGCTCACTGCCTTCCAGGCTACAATCCCTAGAACTGAAAAGGGAGTTTTCCATTCAGATCATAAGCCCCATTAGGGGATCCGTCCCACCTTGAGATCAAACTCCTTTGGTCACCGTTGCTCGGAGGTCACTGGGAGGTGCTGATGAACTGGGTCCAAAGCCCACGCCCACTGAGAAGTGACAGCTGCTGCCCATGCTCTCTGCTCTGTACCCAGAGTGCTTCCTTTGCCCACCCTAGAGCTGCACTTGATCTCAGGTCTCAAGTAGTGCCTCTCCAAAATGCCCAAACATAGACCCACTCTGCAACACTCTGCCAGCCAGGAGCTTGCCGACGTCAGGGACTGTCGTGGTCTGTGCATTCACAGTGTCAGACATACATAGGAGTGTAATAACCAGGGACAGACGAAGAGGAGCCGAGAGGGAGAAGAGGTGACCGTGAAGAAAGAATGGATCACCATTCCATTCGGACTCCTTAGCTAGAAGTGGCTCCCTGCCATGCTGCTGCAATTCCAGAGTAAGGAAAGGGACCAGAAGCAAAGAGGGCTAAGAGTGTCAAGAGGGGTCAGAGACTTGGGCAGATGCACGCCACTGCTAGTCCTGTCCACATGGTTTTCAAAACGAGCAGGAAAAAGCAAAAACATCAGTCTTGAGAAAATGGTACAAGGAGGGAATACTGAATTTAAAAATCAGAAACAGTTCATCCCTTTATGTTTCCTTCCCCTGTCCCTTTACAAACTTTTTATAAATATAATGCACATTTATTTTAAGCTAAATTTACTAAATTTACACTATTTGAAACTTAAAAATTCACTAACTCCCTCTAGGATTTCTTTTTGTATTTTTCTTGAGGGGGTTTGAGACCCTGGGTCTATGAATTAAAAACAAAAATCACCAATAAATTATCAAACACTGATACTTCCAAAAATTCAGTGACTTTGGAACTTCAGAATATACTTAATAACTACACCTATTTTTATTTTATTTTTGAAGTCCAAACAATACATCACACAAAGCACACCTCACAAAACCGCTTTCACTGACCTTTGACCCAGCACAGTGTATCGCTACATACACAGCAGTGCAGTCCCCACCACAGTCCCGGACTGTACCACAATCCCCTGCAACCATCAGTCCTAAAGATGTCAAAATGTCAAGGAGGGCTTACATCCCCTGATACCACGAAGCCCCAAAGCAGGTGCCACGCTCTTAATGGGAAAGACACTTGTCGTAGTGAGATCTTTCTATGGGAAAGTGTCATTCGTGAGGTGGTCAACATCCACATTTAAATCTCTCTAGAAGAAGAGTTTCCTGCTCCGTCTATGAATTCTTTAGCAATTAATAAAAACAACAAAGAAAACTCAGGAGAAAGAAAACCCACCCTGGCCAGAGTGCAAGTAAATAAATGACAAGGGAGGGAGTTCAGGTCACAAACGCCCACTGAGAGAGAAAACGCCCACTGAACTCCCAGCAATGCTATCAGGCATGTGCCGTGCCCCCCCTCCTGCCCCCCCGCTTCCTCCCCATCTGACTTAAACCCTCTTCTCCTCCCCTGGTTCCCTCTCCTGGGGCTTTTAATTGTGTAATTATGCAGCATTTGGGCACCACAAAACACAAAAGAGCTTTAACGCAGCTTTTCAAAATCAATGTTCACTCTCTGTATACTTGTAAAATAAATGTTCCCTCAATCCTGAAGATTTATAGCAAAACATGGGAACTTTTTAAAATTGCAGGGAATGGGGCAAAGAGATGTAGCACATTACTGAGAATCCTGGTATTAGGTCCCATTAATCTATACACCCATTTTCCAGATCTCAAAGATAAATATATATATGAAAATAAAGTAAAATAAGACCCAGCCCAGCAAAAATACCAAGGACAGTAAGGATCCTGAGACCAAGGACAAGCAGTCAGAGGCAAATCTGCAGGAGTAGGGGAGACATAAGCACTCCTCTTCCAAACCACCTGGCACCTCATGGAGTTCTGTGTTCTGAAATCTGGACTGTAGAAAGCGAAACAGGTATCACAGTAACAAAGCACTGAATGCCAAGTTGAAAGAAATGAAAACTTGACAGGAGAGAGCAAGACCGACTGGCCGATTCGGGCAAAAGGTCGTGTGTACTGACAGGTATGTATGTCTAACTTTCCAGTAGCCTGCAGACCAGCCAGCTTCCTACCCCAATTTTAACCCTAAGTAAAGCAAGGCCTGGAGAGGAAAAGGGACTTGGGGTTCACCGTTTTGTCAAAGGAGACAGGAAAATATCTGCATGGGATTTAAGGGCAATTTCTTTAGGCGCTAAAATGTTCCGACTTCCAAAGGGCTCCGATACCCTCAGACTCACTGGGCTTTCCACCAAAATTCAGAGACATCAACAGCCAAGTGAAAGACGTGAGTTTTCAAAGTTCTCCTTCCTTCTAAGGTCTCATGTAGGTCAGTACTGTCTTGGTGTCCGCCTGAAGTATGACTAGGTCTGCCACGGCTGACTCACTAGAACACAGGCATGCTGATTCCCCCAGTCAGGTGTTCTGAGACAGCCAACTGCCTCCAGACACTAACCCTGGAGAGAGCCTTTCCACTGCCGCTATCACTATCAAACAGAGACAGGATGGGGGAGGGTGGTGACAAAGAGAAGCACATACCTTTCAGCTGGTCGGCCACCACGCTCTGGCCAAGGCGCTCCATAACTCTCCCATCTTCCATTTCATACCTGTCGTCTAAGTATTTTGCAGTGGCCTCGGATATGTGAACTTTGCCAGCCACTCCCAGCTGCTCCATGAGATTAGCCAAGTTCACATCATTGGACCACACATCGAATTTAAACCTCCTCATGCCCAGGATACCACATAAGACAGTCCCTGTGTGAACCCCGACACGCATGTTGACCATCTCCTTCTTCTCCTGGCAGAACTGCTCGATGGCTTTTATCATGCCTAAGCCCATTTCGATGCAGCAGTAGGCATGGTCCACACGGGGCTCCGGACAGCCTGCCACGCAGTAGTAACAGTCTCCCAGGGTGCTGATCTTCTCGCACTTGGTCTCCTCACACAGCCGGTCAAAGCGACCAAACAGATCGTTGAGGAGACCTACCAAGGCATGAGCGGATTTGTTGGCACTCATTTTGGTGAAGCCCACAATGTCTGCAAATAAAATACTGACCTCTTCGATCTGCTGCATCTTAAAAGGGCGGAATGCTATAGGTGCTTTCTGTATGGAGGACTTCTTCTTCCTGTTCTTGGGACTGGAGGTGGTGTGCCTCTTGACAGAATTCTCGCTCTCCTCGTCCCCTTGTTTCATTAAGTCATCAGCTATGATTCTTGGCATCACAGAATGAATCATCCTCTCTTTGAGGGCTTTTTCTACTTCCAGATCTTTGCCGTGCATAATGGACTGTCCCACCTTGAGGAAGGTGCTCCTGGACCTCACCTGAGACATGACAAACAGATGGATTCCGATGGCGTGGATGCACACGTGGAGCAGGGCTCTGCTCAGCAGCTCCCAGTGCAGGGCCCCAGGTCCCGGGGAGGGGAAGCAGTCTTCATTTCGGAAATGATACCCAAAGGTCTCGAAAAGGACAGAATAGGTCACCCCCAAAAACAAGCTCAGGTACAGAGGTAAGTGCATGACCGTGTAGAGCAGAAAGAGCACTTCGATGCACATGGAGAAGCTCCCCACTTGAGATAAGCAAGTGTCCGCCGCCTTGGCTGTGAGCGTTTGATTGGAGCTGTCAACACGTCCTGACAGAGGTGTCCAAACCTGAAACTGCGCAGCCAGGGTCAGGGCGAACACCAGCAGGGTGAGAGCCAGTGAGGTCCACGCATAATGCCGGGCGTACAGCTTGGTAAAAGTAAACAGGAAAAAGCCCACACACACCACCAGGAAGCACAGAGCCGGGACCACCATGACAATCACTTTGGATCTCATGTGGACAGCGAAGTAGATGCTCCAGAGAAGGCAGGCGAAGCCCACATAGAAGAGTGCGTACCGGAAGCGGCGCTGGGTCTGCGGGAAGCAGCGCTCCAGACAGGCCTCCTCCAGGTTCACGGAGTCGAATTTGGGGTCCCACCACCGGCTGGAGGCCCTCTCGAACAGCTGGGGCAGTTTCTTCTGCCTGCGCAGGCGACCCCCGCCGCCCATCCTCCGGGGAAGCCCCCCGGAGTCTCCCGAGCTGCTACAGCTGGACGAGATGCTGTACTTGCAGTGCTTCGGGTGGGTGTTGGAGGACAGCTGCTTAGGGTTGATCTTGACCCTCACGCTGTTGCTGTCTCCGCTCGAGTCGCAGCTCACCTCGGTGCTATGGTGATGCAGCAGCTGCTGGTGGGGTGAGGAAGCCATGTTGCCGAGCTCTTGGAACCTTTCCCGATCGGGTCAGAGGTACCTGCGGGCAAAACCAGCAGAATTTGAGCGGCCTTACTACACACACTCCCGGAGGGCCACGCGACCCGTGCTTGTCGCTAGTGCGAGCTCTGGCGAGCCACTTGGGAAGGCACCATATGCTCACAAAAACTGCCCAGACAGGAGGAAAAAGCGCCAAGGCGAGCCAGAAGCGCTCGGGCCCTACCTGGTGCTCCCGGGGTTCCCGTGCCTCGGCGGCGCTGAGTCTTGAGTCCCGGGCGCGCTGCGCTGCGCTGCGCTCCCCTCGGGCGCCGTCGCCCGCTGCTGGCCTCTAGCCGCGCGCCTCCAACTGCGGCTCCAAAGGGAAGTTCAGACCTTGAGCGCTCGGGGCACCGGGAGCGGCTTTCGCAAAAACAACTCGGCCGGAGGCGAGCAGCGCTTCATCCTGCCGCAGAGGCGCCCGGTGCGTCAAAGCGCGCGGGCCGACCTGCGGCTCCTGCCGCGTCCCGTCCCCGCGCCGCGGAGCACCAGCGGGCTACCCTGGCCCGCGCCCCCGCCGGCGAGCTGGCGGAGCCCGAGGGCCGCCCGTCTGAGCGGACGGTCTAGCAGGGCCTGCTGCCCGCAGCCGAACGCGCCGCGCCCCCGCCCAGGGCAGAGCTCGGAGCGCTGCGCGGGCCCCTCCGAGGACGGCTGTGCGGGTTGCAGCAGAGCCCGACTCCCGCGACGCCGGCCGGCCCGCACGCCGCGCCCACGCCCCAGGGGCCCTGTCGGAGCTACAAATGCCGCTGCGGCTGCGCCCGCAGCCAGCCCTCCCGCAGCCGCTGCCTCATGTCGGAAGAGCAGCCGCCGCCGCCGCCGCCACCACCACCATCTCCGGCCCCCTCCCCCTCCCGCTGTCACTGACAGACGCGCGCCCGCGCCGCCCCGCTCCCCGCCGCAGCGCGCACGCGCGGCCCGCGCACGCCACCGCCGGCTTCGGTTCACGCTCACAGGCAGCGCGCCGCCCCGCCTAGGAGCGCGCGCCAGGCTTGGGGCTGCAGCGGGGCGGGGCGGGGCGGGGCTCTGGGCTCCGCCCTCCGCCCGGAGCCGCTCGACGACTGAGCTGCCTGCTCTGGGCACCTCTCATCCTTCTTTTGAACAACTGCTCTTCCCTCTCCGCAAGGGAAACTAAAAGAAGTCAGCTTCGCACGAACATGTTCTACCCTGGTCCGTGTAAACTCTGCCCCAAATAAACACAATCCTGTCCTAGCCACCACACAGTACAGTGCTTTCCTCTCAATCACAGGGCACTTTTTCTTCCCTTCCCTACCTCCCAGGCCCATCCTAGGAGTCCGCACCAGTCTCACTGTGGAGTTAGGAAACAGGAAGGTAAAATATGAACTATCTATACAATGGAATATTATTCGACTATAAAAATGAATAAAGTGTACTTACTACAACCTCTGAAACATGCTAAGTGAAAGAAACCAAACACCAAAGGCCACATGTTGTATGACCGATTTAATGTAAAATGTCTAGAGCAAGCAAATCCACAGAGACAGGTGGTGGATGCCAGCGGTTGTATGCAGAATTAGATACTGACTACACTATCAAGCCTGGGTTTTTCTTTGGGGTGAAGAAAAATTTTGCCTAATGGGAACACAACACCCTGAATTCCATAGTGGTTACATGTCATGAATGTACTAGTGCCTTTGAATTGTCTTAATAAGTTAAAATTGCAGAAATGATAAATTTTATGTTGTGTGTATTGCACCACAATAAACAATAGGAATTTTTAAAAGTCTGATATATTCCAGTCCAAAATGCAAAATCTCCACCTACCTATGAAAAAACATCCGAGGAAGGAACTAAATCTGAGACATTCCCCTCAACAAAATTGTCCAGTTCTCTTCAACAGTGCGGGGTCACAAAACACAAAGCTTCAGGTATTGTCATAAGCTAGGAATAGTCACTAAGGGGAAAAGTAGAACAGGAAAAGGCAGTAAGCAGGCAGCCGGTGAGACAGGCAGTTTATTCAATGCATTCCACTGTCCTGGGGTTACCTAAGACGTTAGCATTAGCGGAAGCTGGAGGTAGACTACAAGGGAATTCCCTAGTATTTTTACAACTTTTTTCCTAACTCTGAAATTATTTCAGAATATAGCTAAAGATAAGATCAATGTTTTTATCTATGTGCCCTGTGTATCTGAGGTTTGGAAAAAGAGCACACAGCAAAAGCAAGCAGTAACCGTGCTCAGCTAACCCTGGCCTAGTAGTGTTGAAGTGCCCGAGACCAACAGACACTCTCCACAGTCACCTGTTGCAACCCTCTGAGGAGGATATTACTGTCTCTCATTTAGAGACATGAGATCAGGGACTGAAAAGTGACATGCCCAGATTCTTACAAAGGGCAATAATAAGTCCGTATTTAAAATCAGACCTCACACTTCGGAAGCCATGACACTCTTGAACCTCACTGTGGCCCAGCTTGGGCCTTGCCTATCTCCTCCCTCAACCCACATTGAGAGAGACCCTTGGAGACAGATTCAACCATTTCCATATTCTCCCTTAACACATTGCTGCCCTCACTTTCTGGTCGCCTTAAACCAGTGGTTCTCAACCTGTGGGTCAAATGACCCTTTCACTGGGGTCACCTAAAACTATCAGAAAACAGAGATATTTACATTAAGATTCATAACAGTAGCGAAATTACAGTCATGAAGAAGCAGTGACAAAGTAATTGTATGGTTGGGGGTCACCACAGCATAAGGAACTGTACTAAAGGGTCGCAGCATTAGGAAGGTTGAGAACCAAAGCCTTAAACAATGGAGTTCACCTGTCTGCACTTTTCCTTGCCTCCCACAAGCCATTTTAATCCACCCACCATTTGTGGCAACTTTCAGATTCCTGAATTCCCCCTGCCAGGTTGTTAGACGTGGGTAATGAGCATACTTGTGTCTTTCCTTCTCCCTTTTATCTCTCGGGAAGCAGCAAGACTGCATTCCCTGATGATGAAACTTCTGCTGAAACCGACAAGCTGCCGGAGATGTCCTGCCCTCCAGGATAGGGTGTGGATCTTTCTGTCAGCCCTCATAGGCTGGAGATACGGTACCAGCCCTGTGCACCAAGCCTGGAGAGCAGTGATGTGCCATCCCAATTCTTTTTTTTTTTTTTTTTTTTTTTTGGTTTTTCGAGACAGGGTTTCTCTGTGGCTTTGGAGCCTGTCCTGGAACTCGCTCTGTAGACCAGGCTGGTCTCGAACTCACAGAGATCCGCCTGCCTCTGCCTCCCGAGTGCTGGGATTAAAGGCGTGCGCCACCATCGCCCGGCGCATCCCAATTCTTAATAGACCGTGGAAGGATGATTGGGTTATAAAGGCAGAATCAGTTCTGCTTGGAGACATACAGAATATAACAGAGAATTCCACAGAAAACATTAATCTCATAATGCCAAAAACTGGAAGGATCAGAGAAGGATCCATCTTCTCCACCTCCACAAACTACAGAGACTTCACACCCAGGATGTTTGGGAGAGATGAGGTGGCTTTCTCCAAAGAGCCAACCCACAGTGCTGCCAAGTCCACAAGATTCTGTCCGTCTCAGATTCACTCGGAATGCTCACTCTGCCACAGTGGGAATCATGTATTTACACAGACTCTACAAACAATCACAGAGAGGCTTGCCTGGCCCAGCCTCTAATCCTCACTTTCTCTCCTTTGCACGTTTTCCTGCTGAGGGAGAACTGCGGTGTCAAAGCATCAGAAGTCACACGGTGGCTGGGAGATAGTTCATTCAGCAAAATGCTTGCCATGGGAGCATGCAGACATAAATGCACCTACACGAAATGAGGGAAGGGACACACCTACAGTCCACATGCCTATAGTCCACACACCTATTGTCCTCACACCTATAGTCCACACACCTATTGTCCTCACACCTATTGTCCTCACACCTATCTTCCCAACAGTGGAGGGGCAGAAGCAGAAGGATTCCTGGAGCTCACTAAACAGCTGGCCTTGCCAAACTGGTAAGTTCCAGGTTTAGTGAGAGACCCTGAATCAAAAATAAAAGTAGAGAGTGATAAAAGAAGAAACCTGACATCAACCTCTCCACATACATGTAGGTACACACAGACATATTTACAACATGCACACACACACACACACACACACACACACACACACACACCACAGCCGAGAGAAGTAGCATGCTGCCTGAGTTCTGGCCATTATCATCATGACAGATGCTGAAATTTTAGCAGTGCCCACGTTATTTTAGTGGTCAGGTGGGCAACAGTCTTGGAGAAACCCCCACTGGAAGATGATACTGCTTCTCTTGTGTCGTGTTTAAGGCTACAAATGCAAGTTATGAGTGCAGCTGGTGAGGGACCATTTCCATCATTGACTTCCGGGTCTAGGAGGCAGTCATGAGTTTTGAATAGCTGCCTTCACATTGACAGGGCAAGTTTTTCCAGAGAAGCAAAGAAAGCTGATTAAAGACCACCCAAATCTGTTGCAGGTTCCCTCGTGGTTCCAGGAGTATTCAAATTAGCTGTGGGTATTACCCAAGTCTTTGGTGAATGAATACATGAAATAAGATGTATATAAAGTAATTACTTTTGACTTTATTTTTATTTGTTTGTTGCTATTATTATTACCAATTTTTTGAGACAGTAGCCCAGGCTAGCCTTGGATTTACCATGTAGCTATGATTCTTCATTTTTTTGCCTCTGCCTCCCAAGTGCTGTGATTACAAGCATGTGTCGCCATAACCTGGACTCAGTTGTTTTTAATAAGCAGAATAACACCTTATATAATATTCATCAGTTGGCAGCTCTTCTCTACACACACTTGAGGCTTTGCTCTGAACCCAAAACTAAATCTGGGATGGGTGCGTTCGCGATCTCCTAGAGCAGGGAAGACAAACCTCGGGTGGCTGCATTTTGAAGTGAGGAGCTGTTTGGTGGCTTCAGCAAGGTAAGGTTAGATGAGGATGGGACGGTCTGAGTAAAACACAATGCCCGTCACTCAGATTGTCACCTGGCCCAGCTCCCACTGAGAGTTTGTTAAGCCCTTTTCGTCCCACCCCATGGCTGATGGTGACAAAGCAGAAAATGAACACGAGAAACTGCAGGAGCTACATAACGTTATGAACAGTATCCTGAAAAACTCGCATCCACAAAGAACTCATGATTGAATTAGGCTTGGAAATGGGAGTGGATGTTGGGAAGCATGGGGTGGTGTGTGAGTGTATGTGTGTAACAGGCTCTTGCTGTGCAGCCCAGATTGTCCTCAAACTTACAGTTCTCTCTATGCCTTCTGAGTGCTGCTATCACACACCAGCAAGTCTCTCTCTTCTCTCCTGCTGCTCCTATCCCCAGAGGCTGGTCTCCTCCCTCCGTCCCCCCCCCCATTCCCTTTTCCAAATAAAAACCCTCCTTGCAAAAAAAAGAAAAGAAAAGTAGAAGAAGCCAGGCGGTGGTGCACACCTTTAATCCCAGCACTCGGGAGGCAGAGGCAGGCAGACCTCTGTGAGTTCGAGGCCAGCCAGAATGAGTTCCAGGACAGGCTCCAAAGCTATACAGAAAAACCCTGTCTCAAAAAAAAAAAAGAAAAGAAAAAGAGAGAAAAGAAAAGAAAGAGGAAGAGGAGAGGAGAGGAGAGAGAAGAAAAGAGAAGAGGAGAAGAGGAAAGGAGGGGAGAGGAGAGGAGAGGAGAGAAGAAAAGAGAAGAAGGGGAAAGACCATGTGAGGATGGATGGAAGCAAGAATAACGTAACGCACTGCCAGAAGCTAACAGAGGTAGGAGGGGCAAGTGAAGCTCTTCTCCTAGAACCTTCCATAGGAGTGTGTTCCCAGGTATTATGGCTCACACCTGCAATCACAGCACTTGGGAGGCTAAGACAGGAGGATTTCTCTGAATCCTAGGCAA